GACAGAAACGTCGTGCGGGGATTCGAGTCGTGCAGAGAACATTTGAGTTCACTCCGACTCAAACATTTTGACATTGAGCTGTCGTTGTTAGTCTGCTGAAGCAGCTCAGACGAGAAGGTCAGTTATCATCGCGATGTGCATCCCTGCAACTCAATGGGTACGGCCCTGTCCCTATGCACTTTTATTTTGATAATGATCAGACTTCTAATGTCAAATCTTGCAGTGCTAGAACCCAACTATTGTGCGCGCACGCGAGACGGGCGCGCGATTACGTGGGGAATTTTTCCTCAGCAGTGGAAACAGGAATACTCTTATTTATGGTCATAGATAAGACAAGAGTGCATCATCCGAAACGGTAAAGTGTCCATTTTTTAATTGTGTATAGGCTACATTATAAATGACTACAAAATGTCATGCCTTTTTTAAAAATACAGAAAACAACCGGATGCGGATTCATGCCGTCGATCTGTCTCCTTTCTGGCGCACGTCCTGCAAAATCAACAGCAGCGAATAGTCTACTTGACGCACAGACAAAGATTATCTATCTATAGAAAACTTTAAGTGTCTACTTTGATGTTAAATGCATTATATAAGTTACTTAGGAATAAATAGCATGTTTTCAGATGATAAATAAAACATGACTTATAGCACGGAAAAAACGTTAGGTTGTTATAAATTATTTCGCGGACCCCCTGGCTTTAGCTCACGGACCACCAGGGGACCCCACTTTGAGAACCACTGACTTAGGAATTGTGGGAAATGGAGTTGGACAAAACGACTCAATACAGCCGGCACACGAGTTTTAATCACACAATAGACTACAACTACCAAGTACAATAGCAGTGCGCCATCAATACAAGCTGTTATCTCGCAGGCAAGGTCTCTCGCTCTCTGCAGTGGGCACACTACACGGTTTGGCGCTGGCGCACACGTTCTGTCTCGCAGCTCTAGATTCCAGAAGATTTGAACTCATTTACGGGCATCAGTATGCAGGATTTATATAAATAATTTATATCTAGATAGATTAGATAATTCATTCTCAATTTATAGTTTATTTGGTCGGATGTGCGTGACTGGATGTGTTGTGGTCATTCTCAAGTGTCGTGTTGCTGTTGATATATTAGTCAGATCAGCGTAGCACTCAATAATCGGGATGTCCCGGCTAATTCGGGACAGTTGGCAACCCTTACTGACAAGCAACAACCGTAAAGGACCTTTTAAAAACGTGCAGTGTTTGTGCACCCAGATTTAGAAAAGTAATAGCTCTCCTCAGTTTAAAAAAAAAAAAAAAATGCATGATTTGAGGTATACTTCTTGGTGATGATCATTTAAGCCTTTGCAAACACCACTAAAAAGTACTTTATTAATTGGGCTTGTCAAACCCTATTTTCCAGAGGCTAGTGTTTTATAAACCTTTATTGTCTACAGTCTGCAGTTATTGGCCGTAACTGAGCCCTGCCTACAGAGAAATTCCACTTAGCGTCTAATCTCGCAACAATATCCTAATTAGGTTGCTAATGATTGATCATTCCGGCCCTGGATAAAGACCGGGGCACCCGCCTTGAATAAGTGCTTATTTTTGCTATAGCAAATCATGTTAAACCAAAGAATGCCCACCGTTCATTTGACCGGTGTGTGTGAAGGTGATTACTCAGCAACATCAGAGTTACTAGCCTATATCCAAAACCACCAGACTATCAAAACTGCCATACAAAAATATAAGCTCTTTGATGACAAGCATTTTGCAAAGATGTGAAGATTTAAAGTAAAAATAAATAAAAATAAAATAAAAAAAAACAGATTTAACGTCTAAATGGCAATATGATCAGTAAAAAAAGACAAGACACCAAAGGCAAATCCAAATGGCAAAGTAACATTTTGAGTTGTTTTCACATGTAAACAGTTTAGACAATCATAACAGAGTACATTCACATACAGAAGTCTTAAAGGCACAGTAGCAATAAAAGTGAGACGCAATTAAAAATACAAACAAGGCATGTATTACTCACCATGAACCGCAGGTCATCAAAGCCGTTGAGCAGAAGCTTGCTCTCATACTGTGGAAGGCCTATATGCTCCAACCAATCACCGACCGGCTGCTCTAGTAGCCTCCCGGATCCACCTGCGGACAGAGGAAGGCGCTTGAGGAGCGAGAAACCGTTGAGGCGGTAGCATCGGCACTCTGAGGAAGAGACGTGGCACTGCCACATCATCCTCGGCCAGCAGTGCCGAGAGCACAAACACCAAGAAGGCAGAGGCGACAGGATCCCGGCCGAGAGGTGTGGTCGCTCCCACAGCAGGGGCGGACCACGCTTGCTAAGAATGAAGTTCGTGTTTCCAAATTTGGGATGAAAATGAGCCCAACGCTGAGGCTGATCACAGATTTAGACTCCACATTACCTTCCAATTTATATTTAAGAAGTTGTAACAAGTTGCTATGAAATATGCACACGGAAAACAATTGGGGGCCAAGACCAGCAATTATCGAAGTTTCCATTTGAGTCCAAAATCACCCTATGAATCAAAGGTTTGATTTCACAATCCAATCGGTGAGAGAAGACGATGTTCATCCCTAGAAACAACAGTAATAAATCCAATTTCATTAGAACCCAGGCAAAGCTAGTTCCTGAAAATGCGAGCTTGCAGATCTATCTTTGCAATCCCTAATTGACTGAGCTGTTTAATGAGGAAGAGCACAGCAGGGCATCAAGAAAAACATCTTTCTCCTGGGGTGTCCACGTGGAGGCAGGTGCACAAATAAACTTCCCACCTTTAACTAACACAAGCAGACGTGTTGTCCGTGCAACTCTAATTATGCCCAAACAATATCTACCAATCGCATGCAGAGTAACTCTTACCAATAACTCAAAACGTCTACCTAAGAGTGTCACCTAAGAGTGACTAAAAATTGCTATGAGCCTGGAAACTCTTAACTTGAGCATACTCCGCTCTTCATCCGCATGCAAATTAACTTCTAATCCAATCTCTATGATAGTGGTACTTAAAAGTCAGGCAGGACTTGCATTGTACAAAGTGACTCAGGATCAAAGGTACATGAGATCAAGCACTGGTGTTTGGTAGGCAAAGAGAAAAAAAGCTATCACAACTCTTGATATCATCTTTATTCTACAAAAAATATGCCTGCCTATGATTAAATTTAGTCGCAGACGGAAAAGAGGGCACCAAACACATGCCTCACTAATAAACCTAGTCTTGAAGTCGGTCTAATCAAAGAGGAATCAAAAGCAAAAGGGATTCAGTTATCAAACTTCATCAGAGACTCCCAACCGCAAAAATACAAGACTCGCTTTTCCAACACAACAAAGTCTTCCCAGAATCATAGAAGTCCAAACAGAGAAAGTGAGTGCACTTCCCACATCAACAGTCAATCCTCCGAGTATGTTGCAGACGTCTAGATATCCCTCTAGTTCCTTGAGGCATCCCGGCAGCTGCTCAGTTAGAAATGCAAGGTCAGTGGGATGTTTGTCAACCCTGCTCCACAGAACGACGCTCAAACTTGACACACTTCGCAAGGCGAGCGGTGCAGACGAGTCTGGATGCTGTAAGAAATGCAGCAGTAATCCCTTCGGCACAGAAGGTGCGGTCTCCTTGTTCAACCGGACACTGTCAATTCTGCTCTGCACCGTCTCCTCCTTCCTCTCCCTCACTCCTGCTATCCCCTCCCTTTCCCTGCCTCCTCCCTCTCCCTGCCTCCCTCTCTCTTCCCCTCGAAGAAACTGCGGGCCTGCTCTCCATTGTCTAAGGACTCATCAAACCTTTGTCCCATCCATTGACCTGACCAAGTCTGTTCATCTTTTGCCAGTGTAGTGACAATGGTGACAATATTAGAGGAATGATTCAAAAGACAAAGAAAGAAACGAGGTGTAATGATAAACAGTGCTTACACAGAAAGCAAAGCACAAACACACAGGCATATGCAGAGCTTCTAGGCTAGAGGGTGTAGATCTGAGATTATTGCCAAGCTGCAGGGCAGTTCTTCTTCCAATTCCCCTGACACTCATGCATGTTAATATTTTAGCACCTTTATACACATAGCCATACACATAATGAAAAAAACATGCGACAAATTATGTCGCAGGAGTGTATAAATTAAATATGGTATTCTTGATGTGAAGTGAAGTCAAAGAAGTTTACTTTAGTTTATATAAAAAAAATGTTGTTACCATCTAAAAATGGTACAAGTGAAACAAGACTGTTCTGGGAGGTATCTAGGTGGTGGCTTTCTAGCCTAGTCAAAAGTGCCCACTCACTATCCAAAAATCTGAAGTCTGATTTCGTAAAAAGTTAGTAGCACAACTCAATAACACTTTAAAGTCTTAATTTGGTTACGGGTTTGCTCAAATTCACGTCGTCAAGAACGCGCAAAAAAGTAATGTTGGCTTTAATAAGCACCACTAATAAAATCAAAAACCAGGAATCATATCCAAGTAGGATGCCCGCAAGAAACAGGAAATGAGGTCAGTGCCAGTGCCATGTGATAAAAGGACAGTGGAAAGACTGGTCCTCTAGCACTTATATGGGCCAATGAACCCAGTTGGAATACAAAGGCCCCTTGCAGAGACACAAACCACTTGAAACAGTGTCTACAGGCTTTAAGATAAACTTATGAGAGAATGGTGATTTATTAAAGGCTTAAACTTAAGAACTTAAGCAGGAGTTTCCAAACCGTGCTTACAGGACCGAGTGATACAGCAAGCGTGACGGTCTCTCTGGTCTCGATTGCTGTAGTTTGGTTAATTCCAGAGGAAGGTCAATAAACTGCCTCCATACAGAACAAGGTCATGCATCACACCAAGGCTGAATCGTCAAGCATCTCAGCGTCCATTGATTTAACTCTCAAGTGTCCCCTCGTCCTTCAACGGCACACTGGGATTTCTCATTCTCCACTTAAAGGGCCAGCCAACCCCATATCCCTTATTCACTAATGTAACTCTTCTGGACTTGGCCTTCGTCCTCCTCTTGCCCATCAAGAGGTTATTGTGTTTCATTGCTGGTCTGCTCAGTCAGGTCTCATTTCATAGGGGAGACAGATCCTCGTTCAAACATACTTGATGCTCAGTTAACATCAGGAGACCAAACCACCAGCTAACTTTGGCTACAATGAGCAGTGATTGCAAAAACAATTAAATACAATAAACTACAAATACAATGCATTGTCCATTGTGTCAGAAACTCTTTGCATCTTTCATCTGAATAATAAAGCACAGTTGAAAGGGTAACGCCATCACATACCTGTGGCGGAGCAATCCTGGTCTTTGGAGAAGTCAATGCCGGCACCAATCAAAGTCATGATCTTCTCAATCTGTAAGAGAAAAAAAACACAATGAGACAACCACATGACGACACCAACCATAGCGCAATTTGGAAAAAAAGCAGCTGCAATTTATGTTAAAACTTTGCATTAATGATTTCCCAGCAGAACAGATGAAGCGGCAAACAGCGACAATTCCGACTGAGAAAAACACCATCTATCATCCCAAGGTTATAAAGATCATGCACTAGACTAGGCAAATAAGAAGTGACTCAATGTTGGACAGAGAAATATCTGGTTACACCAACCCTGACCAATAGAGTAACAAGTGAACTGAGGGTATGTAACTCACCCCCGGTTACACATGGAAGACAATCTATAGTCCAAATACTCAAGAAAGTAAACACCAAGACATTCAGGTAAACTCAAAACATGCAGGAGATCAAGGGGACAACACGTCACTTCATATATTCACCATCATCAATCACTAGTCAAACTTCTTAAGCGTCTGACTAGAAGAAAAGTCACAAGGGTAAAAGTAGTTCTGTTTTGTAATTGATTATATCAATGTTTTGTCAAGTAGGACGTTTCTATAAGTCAGCAAAGTAAGCGTCCCTTCTCTCGGATCTCATTGGAATCGGCATTCATTGATCATGACGTCCACACCCTTCAGTGATTGACAGAATGCTGCCGTAACTGAAAAACACTGATTACACATCAGCATAGTTTGATGGTCATTTCAATATGATACATCATTCGATCGTGAAAAGAATTCAATAACTTCAAAAACAGGCCGTATCCGAGTCAGAGATTAAGATCTCAGTCCTTAGCAGTTTATGAATCCACTGATGTGTGGAAGCAGCTCATAACTTCAGTACAGCAGTGAAGCTATGTAATACAAAGACAACCGAGGAGGAGGACGTGATGAGGCATTTACAAATGACGCACAAATTCTTTTATTTGCCTGTGCGACTGATATTAAACACTGGCAGAATTGGAAAAAAAAGGAGTTAGTAAAATAAAACAATGACAGCAAAGCTGCCGAGCAGTAGCTTATCAAAAGTAGTGAGGTCAACAAGAGAGCAGTAGACTGAAAAAGGGAGAGAGAGCTTGAATCCTGCCACCACTGCCAAGAAAAGCTGGCCCCAGAGAGGTCTGCGAGAAGACAAGGTTCCCAAACGTCTAGAGACAGTTACAAACTTAAAGAAATAGATACAAAATACATTAAAGTTGTGTCCTGATCTACTCATCCTCAAGTTATTCCAAACTTATATGACTGACTTTTTCGAGCGGAACAAAAAATTGGAGATAGTTTGAAGAATTTTAATGCTGCTCTCCTCCATACATGAAAGCATATTGAAATTTTGACTTCAAACTTTGGTCTCTTTCTCATGTAAAACTATTCGGCCTACATTACTTAAGACTTGGAATACCTCCAACGAATCACATCAGGAACTTTTTTTTAATTGGTCCTTTTTGTCGTACATCTGCGTTAATTATATGTAAAATAATAGCATGAACATTCTGAAAAATACCTTACATAGAATAAAAAGTCGTACTAGCATGGAACGTCAGTGCTATTTTAGTATTATTTATATTTTGAATAGAGCCCGACCGATAAAGGATTTTGAAGACCGATACAGATATTTTGGGCTTTTAAAATCCGATATTCCGATATATCGGCCGATATTTTTTTTTTGTTAAATATTGTTGGATTTCACACAAGTGTAAAAGAAAAGCTAACTTTTCTGCACAAGATACGTTTGATACTTTTTCCTCTATGTCTAGATGTTCACTCCTCGCAAGTCTAACTTACATTTTACAATGCAGGGACTGTAACTAGAGATATGCTAGTTATAAATACAGTAATCAAATAAATAAATAAGTAAATACAGTAATTTAGGCAGTGAACAATTTACTAAAAAGTTCATTGTGGTTTCCAAGCTCATTAATATTAACGTTAGCGGTCTTCCACTGATGATAGTGACATTAGCTAGCTTTGTGGTTAGCTAGTCTATGATGAGCCATAATTTAGCAATAGATAACGTCATACTGCAAATTGTAAAACATACATTTTCAATATAACAGGCCAAGGAGAGATGATTGAAGCATGTTTCATCCGTTTTTATTTTATTTTTTTTAAACATTCATTTATCGGCCATTATAACTGCCCTTATACCGATACCGAGTTTGGAAAATGCCTAATATCGGCCGATATATCGGTCTGGCTCTAATTTTGAATTAGTTGATAGTTCTTATATTTTAAGTCTTAAAGTATTATTTCTAATTGCTTATATTTATTTGTATTCACATTTTAGTTATTTTAATATCTTAACTTATTTAAGTTAGTTGCCAAGTCAACATTTTATAATTCATTTATCTTTCAATCTAATTTTTGAAATTTATTTCAGCATAATTTAAATAATTTGTATATATAATACATATATTATTATAATAAATACATATTTTTAGTTAAAGTAATAATGTATATCACAAAAATGTAAATTCTGTCATAATTTACTACACCTCACGCCGTTCCAAACCTGTGTGACTTACTTTCTTCTAGAGCATATTTAAAAAAAAAAAAAATGTTGGTAACCACAGTTTCAGCGATCATTGACTTACACCATATGTTTAAAACAATATAAATGGAAGTCAATGGGAATTTGTGTTTGAAAAAAAAAGAAAAGAAAATGAACTGTTTGGTAACCAAAATGCTACAAAATATGCTCTTTAAATGTCCCACAGAAGAAAGTAAGTCACACAGGTTTGGACCAACATGAGGGTGAGCAAATGATGCACTACCCCTTTAACTTCAACAACACTGGAACATCATGAGGATGAGTAAAGACTCATTCATTTACAAAATAAGAACACCTCCATTTAACCTTGCTACCAGTAAGATCCACAAGAAAGGTTGGCTCAGAGCAGCAGTAAAGAGCAGAGGAACAGCAGAGGTACACAGAAAGACAGAGGGGCGTGTGGAGGGTCTTACTCTTTGGGACGGCCGACGTCTCCATGGAATAGAGAGGGAATGCCTCTGTCTCTGCAGGGAGAAAACCAACTTTTGTTGCTATTTTGGGAGAATAATATTTGAGTCTTGACAATGGCACAATTGAGAAACCCTTTAATACTGTTAATGGGATTTAAATATAAATGTGACCTCCAGGTGGGTTTGGCACTTCAGTGACCATGTTTCCAGAAATAAACCCTTTTGAAGACGGACAAAGACTTGAGAAAAAAAAAAGAAAAAAAGAACAGTCTAGGGACGAGGAAAGTGGGAATGCTTTGATCCGGGAGATAACGCCAGTTTGGCTCCTTCAACAACAGGGGAGTATTTCTGATTTAAAGATAAGCTGTTTGAAGCTTTCTCATTCCAGTCTCATCCAGAATCCATCAGAAGGAAGACGAGTCATCAGTTATGTCTGACATCCCTCCGTCCCGCAGCGGTTTTCTCATTTTCAATAGACAGCGCATCTGTTAGAGCGCTCACAGCGCATGAATGGCAGATTGTACAGCTATTCACTTTTCTTTTACACATTTCCACACTGTTACAGCTAGTGGTCAATGCATATGAGTTTGTTAACCTGTTAACTGTCACCCCCCCTTTTTTTGAATAGACATGAAAATGCACATTTCGAACTTAAATGGTTGTAATTCAAGAATGCTTTGGAACATAGACATATGATTGGTCTTGTTTTAAAGAAGACATTTGGCAGATTTTTGTAGAAGTGAAATAAATTAAGAAAGTGAAACAGAAAAAAAGTTATAGAAGTTTGAGTTTATGGAAATGTACAATGTAAAAATATTAATTATTCATATTTTACATAAAATATATATTTTCAAAACCTGGGCTACTCTAAAATGGAAGAAAGATCAAAGCCAAAAATCTGAACAAGTTGTGTTTCAAATTTTAGGTTGATATCTCAAAAAATGAGCTTTCAGTAAGATTTTGTTTGAGCGCAGTACCAAACTTTTTCACTAGGGCACAATCAGACTCCATTACTGCCCATATAAGGGCGCCTGCATTTCCATTCCTGTTTTGAGTGATATGAACCATTATTTTCACAATTTTCAAACAATTTCTGAAGTAGAGATCCTATTCAGAAGTAGCATGGGAAGTTTGGCAGATTTTGATATGAATTGAACCTCTAAGAAACACATACTAAGAACACGCATGTAAGTCATAGCTAGCTGACACGTCACAAATGGTGAATTTATTATTTTTTTCTTGATATTTCAAACTTTTCAGACCTTTTTTTCCAAAATAATTGAATGGATTCTATCTTTTGAACTTTTGGCATGAAAACAAACTGAGGTATCTACCATTTTTTCATGATTTTTCATGTTTACTGCTATTTTAAAATAAAGGTCTGAACACGCCTTATGAGTATGAAAATATTCTTGTTTTATATTGATAAATTATGGCTCCTCTGTAATATATTTTGAAAATCAGTCACCAAATATGGAAACTAGAGATTGTAAGCTTTCAAATGATATATAGTTTGTCAATATTATTTAAGGTATTTACTAAGATATTATTGTTTTAAAAATATAGTGGCAAACGTCCCACCTGTGGGACGGTGACAGTTAAGTGTATAAATATAAATGGCATGGGAATGTGGGCATTATTCTCTCTCTCTCTCTCTCTAAGAGGTTAACTATTTTAAAGTGTCCTTGTTACAGCATAATTATATTATATTTTACAGTAAGTATTTAGTCATATTAATTAACGTAATATTAATTAATAAAAACATGAAATATTAATTAACGTGTGACAAGTACACCTTAAAATTAAATTATACCAAAACTATATTCTGTATATGAACAAAACTTATTTAATAACAGCAGTTTCTACAGGTTCACGATTGATACCTTTCATTTGACAGACATTCACCCCGCAACACACATCTTAAGTGCGTAATATATTAACCGTGAGCCAAACAACATGTAGGTATGAATCTAGCCGTATTTAGAAGTCAGAACCATAATCAGAATGAGTGCTTGATTCCTAAAAATGATGACAATCTGTTGGCCTACAACTAAATTAACCCTGACGGCACTTCATTTCTACAGTTTTATTTTTAGTTGAAATAAATGAAATACAAAATCAGAAATCAAACTTCCTTTCAGCACGTGTAGGCTGAGCGATGCATATGAGCCAAAAGCACCATCTTGCGCCCCAGTGTTACACTTCCAAATATCTGTAAATATCTTTCAAAACAATACGATTCAATTGTATCAATTGTATTAAAAATTGTGCACCCAGGTGCACACCAACAGTGCTAGTGTGAACACACTCTACAGCGCTGAATGAGGACTGGTTCTCAGCAACAAACACACACTTCTCTTTACCACAAATGCTTTAGCTCTTGTTTTAAAATGCAAAGTCTCTCATATTTATCAACATCAGTATTCTTCAATATGATCAGCGTGTCCGCTGACCTTATCACACAATTGGAAAATAAATTACAATGAATCACGACCTGATGTCTATGTCAACTTGGGACGTATTTCACTGCAGACAAATGCACAACGGTCCAAAAATAGCTCATTTTCATCATGCAAAATCAAATTTCTTGACAGGCTTTGGGAGATTCACTCAGTTACGTAAGTGTAATGTTTCTGCAATGTTTCATTTACTTCTGGTTTCCCAGACAAGCCTTAAGTCTAGTCTCAGACTAAAATGCATGTTTGAGCTGTTATAACTGAAAGAATATCTTAAAATATGTCAGAGCCATTGTTTTGTCTCAAGATGTACACCAGTAATGTTTTTAAGGCACATTTTTAATGTCCTAACTGAACTCCTAATCCTAGCCCAGTCTGTGAAACAGGGCCTTAAACATATTTTTACCCATAAAATATGATCTAATATGTGTACTGTGTGTTACTACTGTTGGATTGCAAGCCAGCACAGTAAAAATGTAGTAATGTAGGGTCTCGTGCAAATAAGCAAGCCCGTGCTATAATCACACACACATTATGCACGGCTCAATTAATCAACCAAACTGAGAAATATTGCATGCAAACGAAAATAAATTAGTGAATAAATGCTAAATAATTAAATGTTTTCTGCATCAGCAAGATAGCTTGCAACATACAGTATACTGCATGTGTTAGCAAAACAGCTCACCACACACACACACACACACACACACACACACACACACCTAAAAATAACAGAATGCCAGCTTTAGAGAGTATAACAATAGCAGTGCATTGTAAAATAATACTTCTGTGGGACAATGAGAGTGAGCAAAAAGTTTAAATCTGCAAAATTCTGTGCAATGGGATTAAATATAATAAAAAAAAACATGCTCGATCAGGCTGGAAACAGGACCTTAGTGGTAGCAGAGAACATTTACAAATTAGGTAGAACATTTAATAAACATGCAAATAACAGATGCGAAAGTGTAGAGCTTGTGAATGACATCATGATATTGCTGTCGAAGTTAAACAGCTGACCAAACCAGCTTGGTAGTAAAATATAAAAATATAAATATAACCAGATTTCATCAAATGTTATTATTATGATTGTAGTTTTATGGTTTGTCTTTCTTCCACATCTAGTGGTGCAGGCACGACGTCAGAACCAGGAAGACAAACTCGCCGCTGGTTCCTTCGAGACTCTCCTATGGGGATTTATAATGGGGGTTTTGAATGAATGAGTCAAATAAAGCCTGTGGTAAACATAACATAATTAGTCTGACAGGTTCTGACGTCATACCTGCAGCAATCAATTGATAGGGATGGAAGAAATGACATGGGGGAATATACAGAATAATAATGCTAGCCAGATTCAAACCATTTTGGCCATATGAGCAACATGGCTCAAAGTGCACACATGTGTCAACCACTAGACCATGAGATCTGCTCAAATTGAATTAATAAAAAATCTATTTAGAGAGTTCAAAAGAAAAAAAAAAAAAACCTCTAATGTTTCTATGACAATAGTTTTTTGACAGCAGTGGTGTGCGAGTCTGATACTTTACAAAAACACACCCAGAGTCACTTTACAAAAACACACCCAGAGAGTGCACGCATGCAGTGTGTGATGAAGTCTAGTAGGTTAGACTAGTGTGTGTGTGTGAGCAGTTAGAGTGCACACTTTCACTGCATGATTTAGTCCATTAAAACGCATTTAAAATGAACCCAATATTAACTCTTTCCCCGCCAGTGTTTAAAAAAAAAGTTGCCAGCCACCGCCAGGGTTTTTGACGATTTTCGCTAAATTTGAATGCCCAGCTGAATATTTTCTTCCATGAATATATGAAGATGATATATATAAAAATAAAGATCTGAGCCTCTGCTTTAAGGCAAAAAAAAAAAAAACGTTTTTATTTTATCTTCATTTGTTCTTTTTTTATTGCCTCTTGAACAGAGGTAGGTTTTGTCAAAAACACAACATTTTGGACAAAAAACTGAGAAAAAGGTATTTTTATCAAACAAGTGCATTTAAAAGCAGAATACATTCAGATGTTGTTTCCTTCATATATAAAACTTTCCAAAATAAATTAAAAACATAAATAAATGTAAAATATATCAAATTTCCCAGGATGTAAGGGAAATGTAATTTTAGCAATAAAACTTCTGCCTCTCTGTGTTCTACCTGTGAATAATGAATAATTGGATTTACAATAAAAAGGCCTAGACACACACACACACACACACACACACACACAAATACATATTACAATGTGGTAAATGTGCACAAAGAGAGAAATAATTTGACAATTACACCTTCATATTTAGACAGCCACACATAAATGCATGCACACACACATAAATATTATAGTGTCATAATATTATACGATCTATCTGCGGCACGTCCATGGCTAGAACTTTCTGTGACAACATGTGCATCTCTCTCACTGACTACTTCGTCCCGATCAGATTCAGAATTATCAAATAAAGAGTGATCGGACTCCGAGTCCATTAACCTCCAGTACTTCAGCCATATACCTCTGCATTGTCTGTCTGATACATTCTCACTACTCCACTGTTTGAGACGATTGCAATCTGTTTCTCTGATCAAAGAGTTGCGCA